TCGTCATGAGAATCAAAGCACACACACGTCCACTGCCTCGCTCTTACCTTTCCAGGTACTTTTCTGAGAAGTCAACCATAGCGTGAAACATGGGTGCCAGCCTGTGCGCAGGTTCACTTGGCGTGTGTGAAAATTTGACAGCATGTAAGCGAGTGTCAAGAGTCCCGGTGCTCGAGGCCCAAAGGGTTTGTTTAATAATCACATTCCTCTAACCCCTGAGAGGCTCTGGTGAAGCATTATATAGTTCTGAGGGGTCTGGGGGGGGGAAGGCGGACCCTGGACTCACCCAATCACCACATGGTTTTTGGAGAGGGTAGATTCCTTCCACTGGGGCATGAGCAGGGTTTTTTCATTTTATGGGGAAGAAAGTTGAGATGACTTTTGCCTTTTAAGCAAAAGAAGTGATGATGTGTTTATGATCTTGTCTCAATATATGGCATTGATGTAGATTCTCTGTACTGGATTCCCTCATTGAACAGATTAGTTTAAAGACATCACCACGAGCCCAGTTTCTTGCTGTGTCTTTAATTTGTTTCTTTTAGTTTGTCAGACTCAAATCTGATATCCCCGATCTGGAAGACAAAATGAAAAACCTCAAAAATCTCATCAATTTGACCCATGTTCTATTAAATACAATGTCTTTGGGGCATGTTTTAAACATTATGTCATAACCTTAGCCAGAAATGCCAATGCTTGATTTATTGTGGGGAATAAACTAAAGGGGAAATCTTTGTGTGACAGTATAACTGCACATCCTAAAAAACGTATTTTATGACTCCAGAGGGAGCTGTGCAAAGTTTGATAAACAGCTATAAATAACGTCACTTGAGCACCAGCTGGGCCTGAAAGCTTTAAGTTTGAACATTTAGAGAATGTGTAGTTGTGGCATTAGATAAGATAGTTTGGTCAACCGCCCTCTATAGCCCACTCCTCATCTCTGCTAGAGGCTCAGGGTGACATCAGCCACTGTACTAACATTGTCTGATTCACTGGACGTAGACTGTGGTTTTAAGGATGCCATTGGCTGAATGTCTCACACTGTTCTGCCTTCTCTTCCACTTCCTGCCTGGTCCTGTTTTCAAAATCCTCTATGCTGCAGAAAGCAACTCCAACAAGCTACGAGCTACCGACCTACACGCTGGGAGGTTTTGATGAACATCTGGATCTGGCCATCAGTCAGTGTACTTTTCTATTTTACTGTTTTCATGACATGTGGAAATATCCTATCAAACCAGGTTCTTCCATGAAACTGTCTTTATCACATTGGAGACTGCAGTGCTGTATAAGCTGAACTAAGAACCAACACTCCAAAACAGCACAGGTAGACACAGCAGGACACACATTGACCTCTGGCATTGGCTTCAATTTCAGTCAAAGACATCTGGACTTCTGTTTGCTCTGTCACTCATCAAGAGGCATCATTAGTTTGACAGATTGCTCAGAAGTCTCATTCATTTACACCTAAATACCACATCCAGCTGTTTATTCTTAATCTTTGTATTTAGGAGACTGAATAATTCCTGTTTCAGGAATGTCTATAACCGGGACCACTGAGACACTTTACAGATATAACGGCTTGGAGTGGATCACGTAAACTTTACACCACAGAAAAGAGCATTGGCAAGAAAGAAAACCCCCTAGAAGTATTGGAAACACAACCTTGTGGGACAAAGATGTATTAAATTTGGATGTAAAATGAATAAATCAAAAAGGAAAAGGTTTGTCTCTGCATGTCATCATCCTCAGAACCTTAGATTTATTCATGGGAAAGCTCACATTTCTTCACATATGACTCTGGTGAATCAGTTTATTGCTTTATTGCTACTTTGGGGGAGTGTGGTCGTGCTGGGTCTCATTGCTTGAGGAAGCAGAACACCTGGACTGAGTAAAAACAAAAGGAGGTAATGGAGGGGGGAGAGCCACAGTTAATGTGGACAATCCCAGGAAAGCAGCTGTGCTGGATCCAGAAAACAGGGCAGAGTGCAAAAGGGGAGATGAAGACAAGAATAAGGGACGGAGAGAAGAGCAAAAATAAGTAAAGGAATGCTGAGGAAGTCAAGGAGCAGACTGTGTTGTGGTGAATGATGCATGAGTGAGGATGAAACAATGAATTCACTGTGCTGTGGCCAAGTGCTTGGCAGCAGCAGCAGAGACAGGAAGTTTCAAAGAGGAGATTTGTAATGTTCTAATGTAAGTACCAATTCATGTCTTTGTGCAAAAGTGCAATACATTTTATCCTTGTTTTTTGGCTACTGATGTTGTGTATTGACAGTTTTCTAATTCACACCTGATTATTGGAGACAAATTGATCACCGATGATTGTTATGTTGATTAAAGCCAGAAGAAGGTTGTTTATAAAAGTATTTTTTCTTATTGACAGAGTGAAACTACTCAAAAAAAAAAGGCCAGATGAAAACACAAAGGAATAGATGGGATCACCTTTCTCGACTAAAGACGGGAACAAACGAATGTCTTACATCTACCACAACAAACAACCTCCGTCTATCAAACGATTTCACGTTCACTCCTTTGACACGAGTGTTTGTCTCACATGATTGAATGATCACCTGCATGGTCTAAATTATTTCATTGAAATTTCTCTCTCTTCATATGTCTTATAGTTACATATATTCATATTTTTTTCCTTTCTTTGTCTCTATATTTTTTCTTTTCAGAAATGATTATGTGATTTGTACACTATTTGAAAAATCTAAATAAAAGCAGAGAACTTAATCCTATCCGGCATCTTTTCAAGTTGACAGCTACATCTATAATGTCTGATATCTAGTGCAAGTGCTTTTAACAAAACAACAAGGTGAGGTATTTAGAGAAGGGTGATACGAAATAATTCTGTATCTACTGCTACTTCTGCAGAGCACACTTCAGAAACCACAGGGTCAAACGTCAGGGGGACTTCTTTACATATAAATGGCTACATCTCATGATGCTTCCCACATACAGATATACATCTACATGCTCCATTTGCTCTTTCTATAAGTTACAGATCAGTCTCGGACATCTGGAAGGGAATCATTTAATTTCCCTCAAGCCAAGTTATAAAGCATAGCCTGAGATTTCAATCTTTAGGAGCAACATATTAAATTTGTATTCCTCTGAGTTACACCAGAAAGATATTGTGTAGCAGTGTATGTTTGTTTGTGTGACTTAATACGATGGAGTAGATTATTGCTCCTTGTATAGGTTTGCAATGCAGCATAATGGAAAAGGCTACAAAAATACTGGACAATGAAAAGCTTTAGAAATGACAACAGGCTCATGATATTGAGAATATAACGGAAAAATACAGAAACCAAGTGGGTAAACATGTTGAGTTTCCACCACGCTACAAGGTGAGTGGGTTATCATTATATTGACTCATGATGACAGAGGAAGGTTGCATCAATGACACGAGTTCATTTCATCTATAGAAGACAACAGGTTTTCCTCCATTCAGCCTTCATCACTGTCATAACTGTGCCGTTCAGATGCTTTAAAAAAAAGTACAGAAAAAAACACAGACGAGCCCATTCAAGGACGGAGGGCACCGCACCTGGCAAAGCATCCGGATGTTTACACAGCAGCCAATCACCATCGAGCACAGGGACCAGGGAGAACGCCCGACTGGTCCACCATGATTAAATGTGTGCTTACTAATGCTGTTTTCAGACATGACCTCCGGGTTAAGGCCAGAGAGGTGGAGCAGCCGGGTGCAGCAGAGAGGATTCAACGCATTAACTCTGATGCGGAGATCACACGATCATGTTTACAGGACCCCGACACCGGGGACACCACATCTGTGGGGGCCTTAGTCCATTCTAGTTCTGTTTATAAAAACTATCAAATACAAAATTATATTTCCTCTTAAAATAAGGAATCAGCTCTTTTAATCCTGTTTGGTGTTACTCTAATGAAACACAAATTATCTTAATTCATTTTCCTCAAAATATGTTTTGGTGACAATCGATCATTGATTTTGGTATTTCCTCTGTCATTCCTGCAAAAAAGATAAAAAAAAAAAACACATACAGGTACAGGCTACTAGATGCAAGAGTGTATTTAGACCAAATAAAGGACACATCGTTTATCCCTCTAAAAACATTTCCGTATCGTTGTTTGTTTAATCAAAGAAAATCAAATGTGTTGGCGACATACTCAGGACTCTGGTGAAAAAACTCTGCGGAATCTTAATCACTTAATCTGCTGGTTAACCACACAACATTTAACACAGCTCGTGCTGAAGAGCGAGCAGCCATCAGGCCCAGGGGACTGTGAGCGGGTTTTTATTGTCCTCGCGGTGTGAAATGTGCCTTCATCTCGATGAACAGGAGCGTGAATAAAGTTCATTCAACAGCTGATGAATCACCGAGGCGTCGACACACACACACACAAACACTCTCAACGCACGCACACACCTTACTTCTCACACCATTGAGAATGCGAGACACCCATATGGTACCACACTCCTCAGGAGCACACACATCATTTACCACTTCATTAAGTCGATTATGAACAGCGTAAAATGATTAGCTTTAACTCTTGCTTCCACCTTTAGCATACAACGTGCTCCTGCATCACACAGATAAAATAAAAATACAAAATTTAACATCAATCCCCCTTTATTGTGCAAAATTAAATTACGACAAAAGCATTGGTCGACATGTCCCAACATCTTCCAGACCCAAATCTAATCACACCATTACCAACACACTGTCAGAATAAGTCCTGATATCTCAATTAACCCCCCATGGGCCGCTATTAAAGAAGTCATTATCATTCACCATTAGTTTGGACACAAGTCATGACAGCCTCTCAAAATAAAGAATGTTAAAGCAGGGTGTGAAAACTGTACCCGTTCACTCACAACACATGTACTTGTCATTCCAATGCCTTATAAAAAAAACTTTTCATTTTAAATCTTAAAGCTTTGACGTGTTGTTCAAAAATTTGATAATAAAAGTGAAAATGACCACACATGAAAAATGAAATATTTGAGAACTTACAGGTTCTTGGACTTCTTCTTCTTTGTCCCTTCAGGGCCGACCTCGCAGCTACAGGGGGATCCGGAGCTGAGCTGGGGGGAGAGGAAGGAGAGCACACACTGCATCATCCAGCCTCCACACAGAGAGAAGGCCTTGTGGCCTCACGCAGACATGGTGGCTAGCTTTAACCAGCTCCAACAGGCGATGACAACCTCGCACGCTGGTGAGTCCTTGGTGTGCCCAGATACAGACTGAGGCTACTCCACAGCCGAAAAAAGGTTAATCCATAGCAGGCCTCCACAGTGATAGTCCCACAACACAAAGCCCTCTGAGGTGTTTGTGAATCTCACTGAATATAAATGTGCTGTAGTGGAAATCTGTGAGAGTGAAGAGAGAGCGTGAAAGACCACGGCTGATGTTTCTGTTGGCCTCCAACTGTGCCCTCAGATTTGAAGTGTTGAGCCGAGACCCCGGTTTCACGTTACACTCTCTGCCAACCCTCCATTTTGATTGGTTAAAGGGGAAAAGGGAAGTTACTTCAGGGTGGAGAAAGGGTCAATCTCTACTAATCTGATGGCCTGAAGCCACCCAATTGTATGTGTGTGTGTGTGTGAGAGGCTCTAGATAATGAGCCATTGTATTACAGGAACCCACAGTTGAACCTGAGCTGGATACTGGCCACAGCTGGTAACACATTGAGGGGGGGGGTTATGTCTTTAAGGGACAAATGAGTTTCAACCTTCAGAAGAAGGACACTGTTTTTGGAAACTAAGGGCAATATTGCCTTCACTTCCTCAAGGAGTTGTTTCGAGGTTGATGACACACAGCTCACCGTGTAACATTTGGCTGTAGAGTTTGTGTTTTCAGGTTTTCAATTCAGTCGGTTTCAATAAATTCCACAGGAGACAAGATTAAACGTTGGAGAAAATGGAGGAATCTCTGTCTGTAATTGGATTTTCTCAACAAGCGCTCATCCCATCGATCAGCAAACGTTTTTGTGGATAACAAATACTTTAGAAACCCCGTAAATCACAAAGAGGGCTGCTTCTGGTCAATGTGTGGCTCCTCCGTGAAACAAGCTGCAGATTGATGAGAAACATATCTAGAGTGAAATAAGCAGTCACCACCATGGCTGAGTATTTCAATCTAAATGAGGATTGAAGTGATACAGTTGCATTCAAGCTATTTTAATTCCATGAGGCACATTTTTTGATGACAAATCTTTTGAATATCTCATTTTGAGTTTTAGTGGTGTACTAAGCTACTAGATCTCTTCACTTCAGTATTGCAATGTCTTTTTCTGAATGTCGCAGCTGTGTTGCCAAGGATGTTTTCATAAATTGTGTCTATCTGCATGTTTTTTGAAGATGTGTTGCACTGAACTCTCACGGTCACAATAGCCTTAAAGTCTAAAAATGCATTACATGGATGAATACTAATGTGTGTATGTGTGAATGCCTCTGCACATCCATTTATGCCTGCATACATTAAGAGTGTGTACATGCACATTGACGTTACTGGACTATTATTGTATTTAAACGATAATGTGTCGTCTCACAGGAAAACGTTTCCATCCATGTGTATCGAGCTACCTAATATGTACCAGCTGCCCACAGTAATATCTCATAGTGCCTTTGTATTGTTATTGATCCTGGTCGATAAATCACACGCATCGGGCTTTTTAAACGACTGACAAATGGAAAGGCAACAGAAAAAACACAAAGGATGTTAAACCATTAGATGAAACCGCTCTACAAGAAATAAAACATTAACTCTTTCATTGCTGTCTGCCTCAGTTGGGAATTGCTTCATCCCCGATTTATTATGAATCGGAATAAAAAAGATGTACCTCCTACCTGTCTCAAAGAAGCCCTGAAGCATTTTTAAATTTTATTGCAAGTATAGGAATATTATATCATAACATTTGATATTCTACGTGGTTGTGCCCCTAAATATTTTAAGATCATGTTCCACCATCCCGGGCAGTCATCCCTCTCTCAGCAGAACTGAAGTCACTATTTATCAAGTTTTTGACAAGGTTGTAGTATAAAAATTTTTTTATAAATCCCCTTCAGCTTTTCATTACTGCACCACTGAAACTGAGGTTTGTGAATTAGACCTTGTCTAATGCTGATGTGAGTGAGTACAGTGTGTTAGTGCTCTTTGGCCTCCTGACCTGCAGCTTTTGATACTGTTGATTGTAGCATCCTTGTTGAAAATTAAAAAGTTCCTTCGGCACTATTACAAAAGATAATAAAATCACCCTGTACTGTCTGTGAGTCTCTCAGTGGAGCATCTCTCTACTGCATCCTTTAATAAGTCTACACTCCTCACCCCAGAGAAAACACACACACACACAACCACTCACACAACCACTCACACACTCTCTGACTGAAGTCACAGTTGACTGTGAAAGGTGAGTGAGTGTACATTATGTAGGAGCTGTCAAAAAACGAGCACAAGCTAAGAACAGGAACAAAATATATTTAGAGCTGCTTGATGATCTTTATAAAGACCTGTCACACTATAATGTGTTTGTGTGTGTGTGTGTGTGTGTGTGTGTGTGTGAAGGGGGGTTGTTTTTCCCTGTCTATTAGCATGAAAGTACTTGGTATATATTTATAAGTTGATTCCTCAGGTAAGTGACATTTGAACCAAAGACAATACAATGACATTTGGTGACGACTATTTATGCCTGAAGTTTTTCACATAAAAGAAATGTTTGAGAGCAAATCACCAGTGATCTGACAACCATAAGGCCGAGGCATCGAGGCCAGTTGTTCATTTCATTTTATTGTAAATTAGTATTTACAATCAAATATATGATATCCTTCGGCAATGGAGAACATGTAACAAAATCATCCCTTGAAAAGTAGCAACAAACACAGGCCACGTTCGTTTGCATGAGTAGGGTTTAATTCATTGAGGATCATCAATATTTCATAATCATATCACTAATTCCAGAGGGACAACAAACGTCTGTGGAGCCATCAGACGTTTCCCCTAAAAGCGCATAAACCAGTTGGAAGACAAGATGTGCCTTTTCCCTCTCCATGGACATTCAGCCTCTTGTAGCCTCAGAGGAGAGGATTATTCAGGGTTATCAGGAGAACAAATTATATTGTGTAGCTATTGTAGAACAATCGGAGGGGGATCGTCTGCTTGTCAGGTCGGCCTTTGTTCCACTAGCTGTCTGCATGTAAGGACTGGACGCTTATTCACACTAGACTGCTATGTTCCAGCTGGATGAGTGCCACATGGATACAAACACAGGGAAGTGTGTCTGCTTTCTAGTTACAACAGGGATTTTTCAAAGAAGTGCAGGAAGACTGTTCACATTCGTCAACACTCACATAAATTCACCTACGACTGCTTCAGTGATAAGGGCTTGTTTAAAACACATTCTTTTTATTCCATCCCTCTGTGTGTGCAGGGTAGTTTTAAATCAGCATCAGGACTGATTGTCACTGTGTCTGTACAGTTCATTCTTTTTCTGTTAAAATAAAATTTGAATTGCAACCCTGCAGTTGTACGCCTCCACCAACCAGAGCAGTTGCATGCATTTTTTCCCCAGATTCATATGAGGTCATTGTGACCTTTGACCTAGACCACTATAATCTAATCATTTAACCTTTGAGTCCTTGTGACAACTGGTGAAAATCTGAAGAAATTCCCTAAATACAGGCTGAAGAGGTAAAAAAAGATTTTGTGACGACACTGTGCTCTTGACCTCAAAATTCAAAGCAGTTAATCTTTAAGTGCAGGTTCACTTTTGTCCCAAATTTAAAGAAATTCCCTGAATGTGTGACATTCACAAGGCAGAAAGAGGCTTTGTGAGGTCACTGTGACCATGACTTTTCACCTTTGACCACCGAAATCTAATCGGTTCATCCTGGAATCCAACTGAATGTTTGCACCAAATTGGAAGAAATTCCCTGAAGGCATTCTTGAAATATCGTGTTCACAAGAATGGGACAGACGGATGGACAGACAACCTGAAACCATAATGAAAATTGCAGAATTACATCTATTCTTTAGTTTCTCAAATGTTTCTATGTTCCTTTTCTTTCTGGCTCCATGGCCAAAAGCCTGCACACATGACTTCAACACACAATTCACACACTCCCAGACTGTCTTCAAATGGCCAGCGGAGCATAGTCTGAATCTTTTCTAAAATTAACCCTGGTCTGTGTGTGTGTGTGTGTGTATTCCTGTTCGTGTGCATGCTTATGTATACAGACTGCTCGCATGCTTCACTGGATACAGTAAGAAAACACAGAATTTGCCAAACACCACATGACGATATAGTCCGCTGAGGCCAGGGATGCGTGCTGTTAGCGGTTGCAGGAGAGCTGTGCAGATTCACAGATAAAGGTTTAACCTTATGACGCCTGTGCTGCACACGTGTCCTTGTTGCAGTCATACTTTCCAGCACATGTGAGGGTAATCATATGGGAAAACGTGTTTCAGACAAGCTCAAAACATTTATGAAAACATTTGCAGACACACACGGCCTGGTAACATGTCAGTGGAGCTCAAGTAAAGGGAAAATAGTGTGTGTGTGGTTGAGGTGTTAGTAATGTGTTTGTCCATGAGTGTGCGGAGTGCATCTGCGTCTTTGGAGATGAGGGTCAGATTCCTAGGACAGAGCAAAAATGTCTGTCTCAACAAACTGTACATTCTTCACTCGTACTCTGCACCAACAAACACATTGTAGGAACAATATTCTAAACACAGCTTAGAAACATTCTTGACCCAGCCAACCCGGATTCCAAATCCCACAACAGCCTAAAACCCTCAGAGGTGAAGAAATGAGTCTTGGTCTGTGTGTGTTTAAACTTCTCACAAGTTCAACCCCTGCTGCTTCCCTCCATCAGACCTCCCTCAGGCTGCTTCCTTCCTTTTCATTGCTCAGTTTCTTCTTTTATTTGAAAACAAGCGAACGAGCGGGAGTCTGAACAATCTCACATTCCCTACAGCGTTAGATTGGTGCTGACTGTTGGACCCCAGCTTCCTGCCATTGTGTGGCTCCACTAAATATGTTTGTGTGTACTTATTTCTTTGTGAAGCCCATTTCGAGCATAGACCTTTA